TCCCCATCTTGAGTCATGCCCCCCTAGGCACACCCTCCCTCTTACCCTCAGCGGCCCCTCCCTGCAATTCCCAGAGTTTAGTTAGTTTCACCTGGGGAAGCATCAGCAAAAGCAGTGGCTCTCCCTGCAGCTTCCACCTCTTTGCCGCTTCCTCTCCCCATAGCCGCACTTACCAGTTTGCTGGATCCAGCAGCTGCCTTGCAGGGAGGGGGCCTGGTGGCACCATGTGACTGAGTGGGGCCAACAAACACTGGCAAAAATCTGGGGGTCATGTGACCCCCACGTGTTTCTCCCCTCCACCCCCACATAAGTCACTTCTGGCTTCTGCCCAGCAGGGAGGGGGGAGCTCAGGGCTTCAGCCCACAGGGTGCACCTGCCAGGGCTCAGGGCTTCAGCAGGAGTGGGGCTGAAGCCCTGAGCCCCTGGAGGCACTCCCTGTAGGGCTGACGATGGTTGTATGTGGCTCAGAGGGTCAGTAAATTTGGCCGTCCCTGGAATATGGCTAACAGCCTGTCTGCCTTATGGTGTGTTGTGGCAAAGGGCTTGGTTACAGATGGATTTGTAGTGTAGGTGAACCTCACAGGAAAATTATGTACTAGTTTCAAAGAGAAGGCTTGAGTCTTCTACCGCTACTAGTATATCTTTTTATTTTTTTTAACCACCATTGTGTTGTAATGACATATGTCAAGTGACCTTGAGCCACTAACACATTTACAGTAGTTGAAGCACTTTGAGTGGATTACCATTGTTTAAAAAAATTCCTATGCTTATAACTGTGCAAGCAGCGTATATTAAAGATAATTTTGTAAGTGCTAAAGAGCTAGGTATTTATGATCTTTTCTTTTTAAACATACGTACCATTCAGTATGATTCCTCCTGTTTATGAATAGCTGCTTTCTCTGCTGAAATCTGTAAATTAATTTTTCATCACTCTATATTTATTTATTTATTTGGGTTATTCAGGCCACTTTATTGTTTTCTCTATAGATCTAGAATTATTTTTATCTGCAAGAAATAAAGGCTGAAGTTAACGAGAAACATCAGAATACCACACAAATACTGCAGTACAGTGTTTTAAAAAGAATACATAAATAAAAATCTAGAGATGTTAGTGGTGCAGGACT